GGGGGAAGTCAATGTGTTGTGGTTTCTTGCATGAAATCATGTAGGAAGCTTTTGGAGAAATTGCTCACTAGATATGCCTGATGAATCTGTGAATGCATTTGTCTAAGGCAACTGTTGGGATGTGCTCATTTACAGCTGTGAATGTTCAGAAGTGATGCTGGAGCCTGGTAACTGTGTGCACACTGAAGGGCTTTTGCTTTCAGTTGCTCATCTCCACAAGTCCTGAATTGTACCATTTGTAGTGACACAGGAGTGACTGAAGATGTGGCTTGTCACTTTGGAGTGCAGTTTGAACTTGTTACCATTTCTACATAGTTAAATATAGGCACAGCCTGATGCTGTTACTGCTGTTGTTGAACAAAATAATCGGAAATCCACACATCACAGAATCTAGTTGTGGCATGTCATCAATCTAAGAAGCTACTAATGAAGTCTGCATAAACTGAGAACATCTTATTTGTTAACTTTTAGTAGGATTTTTCATGACATTACAGGAAGCAAATGTATATCTATAGAATTGTTCTTACTACTCTTGACTGATTGCACATACAAACATTAATACTACAGTGAGGAAATAGTGCTTTTCATGCTAAAAATATTAGAAGAAAGCCTTTTTCATGCATATGCTGGCAGCTTTGTTTACTGTTGCTGTACTGAGATGCAAATAGCATAAAACTGAAGTTCAGAATTGTTTAAATAAGAGGAAAAACCTGCAGTAATTTGGCATTAGATGTATGTACTTCAAATGGAGCACTGAGCTGTAGACATCTACCAAGACAATTAATGATGTATTGAGCTACGTGGCATATGAGCCTTCTGTTTCATTTTTTAATTGGAAGAAGTCATTAATGCTATGAACAATATTAGGGTGTTATTTCAACAAATGAATAGATCTGGTTAGGGTTATCTAGTTATCCCCAAACCTGGCCTGCTGTGGCTTACTTTGAGTAGGTAACACCTTATCTAACACATGCATGCTTATCTTTTGCAGAATCACAACTAGCAGGTGGGGGAAGATGTTTGGAATTTGGAGTGTTGTGGTGCCATAACATGCTTCAGGTGTTGTCCTTGAAGTGTATGAGAATACCTGGTATATTTAGTTGCATCAGTTGCTTTCCTGCAACTGTGCTCACAGGTCTTGTCATGTGACAGGATTCAGAGCCAGTTAAATGCAACTGCTGTGTTCTGCTTAAATTATTCTGTGTTATGGAAATGAGCATAGCTAAAAATCAATAATTAGAGAGCCAGCATTTGCCAAGATGTTGTTTTCTGAAATTGATAGCGGTATTAGAAAAAGCAATAATTCCTCTCTTCTTTTGCCAGCTCCCCACAAAGTAAGTTCTACCCATGAAATCAGAAAGATTTTTAGCTTTTGGGGAAGCAAAGAATAATCTACCCTACTTGAAAAATACTTTCTGCCTGGAAAAAGACTTCAGGAAAAGAAGACAAGGTATGTGACAGCAATGAATGATTATCTGTTCACTGTTTTCTGTGGAATAATGATGTGGAATGGTAATTGTGCAAACCAACAAATAATTGGAATAAAACCCCCCACTGAGAAGGGAGTAACTATTATCCTGACTTCTCTAGAGCCATGCTGGGGGTTGTCCTCTGCTGCAGGGTTACCATGCATGCTTTACTCTCTGGATGCATTTTCCTCTTCAAGCTGAATAAAGATTCTGTTGCTCAATCCATTTGTTAAATCTATTGCCAGGGCTTTTTCATACACAGGAGGTTGTCTGAGCTGACGTATGGGAAAGAGGTGGTAGGTCTGAGTAGCTGTGAGTTGCAAAAGCATCAGCATTGTAGTAGGAGCTAGTAGCTAATGAGCTGTTAAAGCAGCATCATGAAAGCATTCCGCACATCAGCTGTTACTTCCTCCTGAGAGCTGGTTGTGGGCAAGGGGATGTTGTGGGAAGCAGCAGTGACTTGACTTCTGAGGTATGGAGCAGTGTTATGCTCTGTGCATGGTGGTATTCAGGTGTCTGTACTCTGCAGGATCTGACTGCAGATGGGAGAGATGGAGGGTATCAGACAAGTGTTGCACATTGGATCCCAGTTTGGAGGTGAAATTCCTGCATACAGTTACTTTTTGAAGTATAGTAGCATTGTATTACTTAGGCTTATTAGACCTACATGCTGAAGCATTTCTTTAAATGAGTGATAGAAAGGAACGATTTTCTTCAGGATTTTTGTATTACAGGGAAACATAATGAGGAACAGCAGTGTAGAACAAGAATATAAATGCAAGTCATGACCTTTAGGCCAAATAGTATGTGGGAAGGGGTGATTTGTTGCAGGAGGGGGTCAGAGGAGTGAGGGAGAGAGTTATCACTGGTTAGGAAGTTATTTCTCGAAATACATGGTAAACTAAAAGATGAAATGGTTCAGTCTCCAAATCTTTTTGATAGATAAACAATTATAAAGTGGGTGTTCCCTGGTAAAAAAAGGTTGAGGATTTTTGATGAAGCTGATAGTCTGTAAATGGAGATAATCTTTGTTGCTCAGAATCGTGCTCACTTTAATAAACATGAATTTCATGGTGGGTTTCCTCCAGAAATATGCATCAGAATTCCATGTGCAACAAGGCAGCCCATAATTACTGGTTAAAACCAAGAACTGCCATGTCATGTGCTATCAAAAACATCCTGATGGATTAGCACAAGCTGTGTTTAACAGCTCTGATAAACAAGGATTGCTAAATTGCAATGTACCATCCAGGGGACAGGATTGTCATATGAATTTGTTTACAAACAGTAAATCTTTTAAAGCATTTTCTGTTTGTTTAATTCCCAACTACAAGTAAATAACATAAATGAAGGTGAGATACTTCAATTCAGTAATCCAAATTAAAAAAAACTTGGCTTGATCTTTGCACATCCAAAATACTCTGTTAGCTCTCACAGCGGCCTGTGTGAAAGTAAAGGCTGAAAAAAAAAATACAATAAATTGCTGTTTAAAGTTTTGCCTTGACAGTAAGTCTCTAAGGAAGTTCTGCTTTTAGAGAATAAAGAGACACTGCTACTCTCCTCCAAAGGTAAAATGATAAATAAAAAGGAATGGGTGTAGTTTGAAATGTAGCTTTGTCTTCATTTCTCTTACAAGTAGAAGTTTGTTATGAAAAACAGCTTCCCATTTCTGGACAGGTTGGAAGAAAGTAGCTTCAAACATCGAGTGTCCTGTGGAGTCAAATATTTGACATCTAGTTTGGGCATAATGCAAGAAGTAAGGCCCCTGTGATGAACTGAACTTGCCATTGTGTAGAGACTGTTGGTGTAACTGGGCTTTGCATGCAGCAGCCTTCCAGCTTAGAGCTGAAGCTCAGTGGTGGTGCAGGCACAGGCTGGGGTTTTTCACTCCCTTTTGCCTGCTTATGTGTTACTGCCAGTATCGTGCAACAGCAACACCCAGTTTGGGATTCCCCTCCCCCAGGACACTGGGGTATGAGATCTTGTGTTGAAAAAAGAGGAAGGAAGCACAGCTCAGAACAGCAAATCTCGCAGCACCCTCACAGCTGCCTCAGCCTGCTGATAGTCCTCAGTGACAGCAGCTGGGAAAGGGATCTTGCTTCCAGTGGCTTTGTTCCTTATCTTGAAGTCTGTGTCCTATAAACCTTGGTTCTTGTGGTGGTGGTCATCCTTCAGAGCCTCACAGATTCATGTATGATGGCAAGATGGAGCAAGACAGACAAGAAGAGTGGCGTGGGTATGTAACTTGGTGAACTGCCATTTCTCTTGAACTTCTGAACAGGATGTGGGCAGGTGTTTGCTGTAGTGAGGACTGAACACCCTCTGCTGATGGTGCCTTCATTAAAATGATCCATTTTGTACAAATTTGTAATCTTTCAGACGTAATGACAAGTAGTACATGAGTGCCAGCGGTTTTGCTCTCACTAGAATGCAGCTTTCCCCACCTCAGTACATTAGAGCAGATGGGGTAAATGGTATGTTGTATAACAGAGCAGCTACAAGGTAGGGGGAGCAAATGTAGGGGGAGGGGAGTCCTACAGTTGCTTCTGAGACTGTCACTTAAGGTTAGTGTTAGAGAGAAACCTGTAATGAGTTGTCAAGTCATATTTTTTTGGGGACGAAAGTCATCTTCTGACATCAGTTTATCTTAAAATGAATGATGTTCACTTACATAAAGGAATGAATTAGGCCTTTTTTAAAAAGGCCTTAAAATTAGGACTCAGCTGAAGTACTTGAAGAAA